GCATCATATGCGACTTTTAATTATGTCTGGGGTGGCTTATTGCCCGAGCAGTTCGTACTGGGCGAGACGAGATCATTGAATTCGAGATCAGTGCAATCTGAGCATATGAAGCAAATTAAGGGGCTAAGACCATTATTTGGTTCAGAATGAGGTGATAGTTCTTGCCAGAAGTATAGACCCAATGAATTGTTGATTCAACATTGTTATGAATTTATACAGATCTCATCCATCATGTCGGTATTGTAAGATTTTGAACAAGACCTATGTATGTCATGCAGAGCATGGGATGTGTAATGATTTTTCTTCTAGATGGGATCAATGGAAGTTCTTGACTAGTTGAGTACGAAGATGTTCATGGTTCGGAAGGGAGGTGAAGTCCTCATGTTACCTTAGGATGGTATGGTATATGCGATATGTTGTGAAGGATTGAGATTTGCGTGTGTAAGGTTACAGTTCAGTTCTGAATGGAAATTCATAACATTCTTAGGCGGTACGGGCAACTTTAGGTGGTTAGAGAAATGAGCTTCAGATGATTAGGGTGAATGATCTTCAGATGATTAAGGAAAATGTATTTCTAATCATAGTGATTTGTAGAGGGTATATGTTTCAGAAAAAGGCCAATGTGATTAAGTTGATGGCACTTCAATAGTATTGCGACACTTTAAGGCTGGATCGACTACTGATATTCGAGTTGCTTGTATGGCACATGGAAATTTTAGAGTATTTATCGTGGGATGATTAGGTATTAAAGGTGTGCATGTATTCGCACGGTGGAAATTGGGATCAGGTATGATGATTTGTGTGCCATATGGAGTTGGAGACTGGGAGTTCTCATGTACAGGCTAGGTTGTGGTTGTGGATCGTGTGTATCGGCACCGTTTAGCAGCTATTGGGATTTTGAGGCTCGAGTGGATCTTTATTTGCTGGTATGTTATATTTTGGATGTGATGTTGGAATTCAGACTGGTTGTCTTAGTGTTGACTGATTTGGAACTATTGCACTAGGGGCTACGCCGGAAATGCCACGGGTTGAGTGATGAAGTGCGTTGGATTATGTTCTAGCAGAGTGGTTTATATTTCAAAGAACTGGCAGACGGTTGGGAAGGATTGCTTTCTTAATTAGGCATTCGTGATGGATGTCAGTGCAAAGGTTGCTATCATTGATTCAGTTCCGGTGTTGAGGGACTTTTCGGATGCGTTTCTTATGGCCGGATATGTCACCGGGCAAGGTAGTCGACTTCGGTATTGATTTGGTGTCGGGCGCCGTATCGTACGGCACCGGTAGGAGTTATAGTAGCAGGAAGGAACAGCTTCAGGTTCCTTGGTAAGAAGTTCGTTGGCATGCCAATGTGGATGTGTGTTCTAGCTTGAGTTGGCTTGGTTGGTCGAAGTGTATTGTTGAGGGATAGGTTGATTCGATCGTTAATTAAGCATGTTAGTGATCTGGGGGGATATATAAGTTGCTTTTCTATGATGTGAGACAGGATCTCAGCCTCGTGTTGTGATGGTACTGATGAGCTTGAGGTATAGCTCTTTCGTTTGAGTCATTTTTCATGATTTGAGTATGTTCAGACCATTTCTTATTGGTGCGCGTATTATGCAAGTTGTGGCTTAGGCCTGTATTGAGGTGTCATATCACCAGAGTGGTGTGTTGGATTCGAGGTGATCGTTGGGGTCACTAATGAATACGAACGGATTTGATTTCAGCTTTTTGGAAGGATAATATCGAGGTTCAGCTCGGAATCTGCTGTGGTATTAGTCAAAAGGGAAGTGGCTTCATGAATGGTTGATTTGAGAAATGGTTACGGTTTATTGCGTGTTTCATTTATCGTTGGCAGTATATGAAAGTGTTGGAATAAGACCTTAGTTGATAAGAGGTTTTCTACCGGTATTCGGGTGTTGTGGGCAACTACTGTGAATAGAAGTTATCGTTTCGAGTGTTTGGGTTATGTAGTATATCATATGATTGCACCTGAGGTTGCAGGTATGGGTTATTACAGCTGGTTCGGGCTTATTCTGAGTATAGATGTGAGGTTCTGATCTTGTGTATGATTTCGGAAAGTGCAATGTGGTTCTATGGTTTATGGACTAGATGGATTGTGAAATTTCAGCTATGTTGTGTTATCGGACCTATGCGAGATAGGGTGACGTGGGATCACCCTGGGTATATGCTTGGTAAGGTCATTCAGCTATTGGTTGGCTTCTAGGACAACTCTGGTACGGCTCGAGGACGAGCGTTTGTTTAA